ATTCTTCCCTCAACCATTCCCAGGCCAAATATCCTGTGTTGTGTATAGGTCACCACATGCATGAATGCTTTGAATAAAACTTAATGCAACGCAGCATGGATCATTGCACAGTATTGTGATGGCAGAGAAGCACACCTTTGATCCCACACTAGTTGCCTGAATGACATTGCTGTAGGAAACTTGGAGCTTCAGCGTGGAGGGAAAATAAAATGAAGGAAACAGGGCTATAATTATATTTCACCTTTAGTCAATTGAAAAGCAGCACAAGAACATAACATGGGAAATACAATGGTTCAAGAATGGAACTCAGTGCCAGCTTCTCCAGAGCAACAAGGGATAGATAATAAATGCCAACCCAACTAGTGACTCCTATATCAGTGAGTGAATGAAGAAAAGTTATGGGCAGAAGCAAGTCATTTGGCCCTACGAATGTGCTCCGACAATCAATAAGATCATGGCTGATCTTCCACTTATAATTTCATGTTAATGATAACGTCTGGTAATCAGTTGTTCATTAGAGACTGATGAACTCCACAGGTTAGTTTATTTAAAACAGTTAAACACACTACAGTCAGTTCTGCTGTAACATGATAATTGTGTTTCTGCGTAACATCATGTGATAGAAAATTGCGCTACAGAAATAACGAGGCCTATGGGAAAAGCGTGGTTACAGGAAGCAAAAAAATCAATCAAAATTGCTCAAAAATTGCTCAAAAGTCCCTCAAAAGCCTAACACAAAGAACAGCACAGTTTGAAAAAAATGTTTAATTCATATCTAATAACGAAATAAAAGTAAATTTAACACCTTACCTTGAAAAAAATGTCAAGATGACTTGATGGGGGAGGAGGTTTTGAGGTTGTTAATGCAGGGGCTGAGGGTTGTATTCTTCATTATCATCATCATCAGCATCATCACCTTCAGGTGCAGTTGCGATTGCAGGGTTAGGACAAAAAATAGTTAATCCAGAAGTGGATGGCTGTAGTTCATTATCTTCTGACTGTTTCTTGGGGGTTGGCTTAAAAAAGGCATCCAGTTTTTGCTACTTTGCCCTTTTTCTTCTTTCAGTGAAGAAGCTGTTCATAGGGTGCCAAATAAGATCTTATTCCACAAATTGCTACCCGCTGTGTTCTGCATTGTAATCCTCTAACAACTGCAACTGCTTCTCAATTTCCCTCAGAATAGAAGACAAAACAGAAGTGGAAAGCTCTCTTGGTGCTGCATCCTGGACTTCGTCTGCTTCATCTCCAGCTTCCACTTCCTCCTCAGGGACATGTTGTTGTAGATCAGCTGTAGAGAGGTCTTCACAGTGGGACTCCAGCAGCTCTTCAACATCCTGACTCTCCACTTGTTCAAATCTAACTTGCTTTGCAAGATCAACACAATGTTCTTTGATTCTTGGGAGCTCCTCTGATGGATCAAAGCCTTTAATATCTTGAAAAAATCTGGGAGAAGCTTCCACCAAACCGCATGCAAGCAGTCCTTACTGACATCACCCCAGGCCTCCACGATAATGTCAATTGCATTTTTGATGTTAAGGCTCTTCCAAAATTGAAGAACACGGTCCTTATTCCTCTCAGTGGCTGCAATCAACCTCTTAAATGTGCACCTTAAATAATAAGCTTTAAAAGCTGCTATTGCACCGTGGTCCATGGGTTGAAGGAGAAGTTGTGTTTGGGGGTAGAAACAGCACTATGATGTTTTCAGAAAGCTCAGGAAAGGTGGGAGGATGGCTTAGCATGTTATACAGGATAAGGAGCATCGAGGGAATCACGTAATAGCCAACACAAGTTCGTGTTTTAGAAATAGCGTTCCCCTATTCATCAGTCGCGTTATAGCCAATTTGTGTTTTTGGAACACTCTTTATAGCAGAACCGATTGTACAAGTTATTGAACAGATATTACTATGAGTCAACCGATTTCTGTATGTACAGGTTGAAGACTAACTGGCAAAGTTGCAACATGTGCAATTGAAGTCCTTAAATGTGAACTCTCTTAAAGATAAGGGATGTATACTGTACATGCTACTTTCCCATACTACCTATTGTCCCTTGGTACTGTACCCAAAAGTTCATCAATCTGTGCTTTGAATATATTCAATAATTGTACATTAAAAACTTTTGTAATGGAGAATTCCAAGAATTCACAATCATCTAAATAATGACACTTTTGTTCATCTCAGTCCTAAATATTTAACCCTTTATTATAAAAATTCAGGGACCCTGCATTTCCCTGAACTTTCAAGATGGAAGCCATAAAATAAAGAGATTAAGTAGCTGTTCATCTGCATTTTGCCCAGCAAACATATCTTGAGATAAGTGGGGGTTTCTCTATTTCCCCCAGATGATGCCCTACCCTTTGAAATATGTGAATGACACAATTGAGCTGATCTGCAAATTGGGAGAACTGTATGCGTGAATAAACCATGCACCCCATGAAAAATGGGGTAAAGTCCCCCTGGGGTCAGACTGGCAGCTAGAATTGCCACCGTACGCCAGGTTTGGTGGAAACCCTGATGAGGCAATGAAATTAGAAGCAGACAACAGGTTCCCTTCAGTTCAACTTTTTCAATCACATTCAAGAAGATGGAGGCAGCTTAAATCCAATCAGAAATATGATGTGTGGCATAAAAACCAAAAGAATTGTGGATGCTGTAAATCAGGAACAAAAACAGAAGTTGCTGGAAAAGCTCAGCAGATCTGGCAGCATCAGTGAAGAAAAAAGTCAGAGTTAATGTTCCTTAGTTCTGAGGAAGGGTCACCAGAACCGAAATGTTAACTCTGATTTTTTTCTTCATAGGTGCCACCAGACCTGCTGAGCTTTTCCAGCAACTTCTATGATGTATGGCAGGCAATTTACCTGTATTTTAAAACTGTGGCTTTAGAGTTTGGATTTGAGCTAGTGGCATGTTTTGATATGTGTGTGTGAAGGGGTTTGATGGTTAACTCGTAGGTATTTCTGTTACCATGGTGATTTATTTAACAAAAAAAGGTAGGAGAGTAAGTTCTTGGTATATAATGTGGTTTTGCCATCATTGGGAGAATTTTTGAGTGAACAAAGTAAGCAGTTGTTCTTTAGGTTTTCAGTTTAAAGGTTTTGTTTTGAATGATTGGCTCCTCTTGCTTAGGGGAAACACCCATAACTTGGAAGAAGCTTTTGGCAGAATTTTTGCCTGATGCTGGATGTATAAGACAGTTTAAAGAAGAGACAGAGTTTAGAACTGTTATGAAATAGATTGCCTCAGATTAAAGTGTTTAGTTTAAAGTTCTAGAGCTAAAGTGTTTGGTTACAACACTGAAGGGGTTCTTTGAAGCTGTGAAAGTCTAAGCTCAGTTATATGATGAGTCAAAGAAGGGGTTATAAAATTCTCAAGACCTGAATTTGAAACAACAGTTAGGTCAAGCACCATAGATGTGATAGAGAAGGGATTTCTCCATGGCGTGAGAACTGAAAATGAGTGCTGTTGGGATTGATGGGATTGTGTTTTACTGTGTATTTCAAAATCTTTAAAGTTGTGTCAATGTAAATAATCTGGCTTATCTTATTTTTCTTTTCTTTTACGTAATAAACCTCTGTTTTATTGTTAAAACCTAGTCATCAATGTTATATGTTTATGTTTCAGTGAAAGACCACTTTGTTAAAACCAGAAAGAAACAAAACAAAACATGATCAATCAAGCCACATTTCAGACCCGACTCCAGTAATAACGTCAAATGGGATCATGACAAATACTATTAACAATGACAACCAAATTGTTTTTGGTACATATAAAAATAGGGAGAATTTCTTTGAGCTAGAGCAAGGAGAAGTCTCTGTTAACATGACTGGGATTGATATGTTTATTTTCCTCACCTATCCTTATGTTATAAACATTCTCTGCAACTCCACACCATTATGCTTGCCAGTAAATGGCCCTTAGATCTGCATTGTAATTGTACCAGGACAGCTGGAGGGAGTGGGACATTCACTAGGATCCCATGAATGGATCAGAATTATCATTGAATAATGTGTATATTAAAGCTCAGCTGGAATGTTATTAACTTGATTTTTCTCAAATCCTAAATTCTTTTGATTCTAATCTTTACCCATCAAGGTCCCTGACTGCCTTCATTTTGGCAAGGCTGTGAGTGGGGAAATGAGGGTCTAATATGTAGATTCCACTGTATGAATTTTATATAATACTAACTGTTCTACAAGGATGAACACTGACTGGCAGTAAAATGGTCACAAGCTGTCTTCTCATATCATAGCCAAATGACTGTGTAGGAACTACCGACAGGTACCAAACCAAAGGAAGTGAACTGTAATGCCAGTTTTTTTACATGGGGAGAGAGTGGAAAAGCAGAACATGTTTGGGAATGGGGACATGGACAAACCCCCCGATAGTGGGTGGGAGATTCAGGATACGTACGGACTTTAGAGGCACCCAGCATGACCCTTGCACCTGCCACATGCAAACACAGAACGCTCACTACTCATGTTAAAAGAACTGGTGGAGTCAGTGCTGGTACAGGTGTGATACGGTATGAAAAGTTATCCATAGATTTTCAGTTCCTAACATTCACTTCACATGTAACTTTCCAGCTGCATCCACTGATAGTTGATCCTCCTCAGCAGAGGCTCTGAGAATGGGCTTCTGATTGGGGAGACTGATGTGAACTTTGCTCTGGCACTTAATCCATGATGGATCTGGCCTAGGAGTCTGGGATTGGTCAAAATGGAAAAGTCTTTGATGTACCACTGTAAGGTCATCAGGACTCCTGAAAATGATCAGAATCTCCCTTGAGAACTCCTCAAATTCTCCCCAAAAAGTTATTAAACAGTCTAGAACTTTATCAGCTGCTCCCAAAAGCTTATACAACCCTTCTCAAAATCATTCAATCCCTCAATAAAAATCAGCAGACCCTGTGAAAAATCTACCTGTCCCTCTTGTCCCACAAATGAATGGGTTATTTCTGTATTTTTCGACACTGTTAATTGTTCACGCTCTATATCTCTCCAGGTGAATTACCTCTCTCTCTAGCTGCCTGCACAAACCAGCCAGACATCGTTAACTACCTCACTGAAAATCCAGATAAAATTGCGGATCTGCGGAGACAAGATTCACGGGGAAACACAGTGCTCCATGCTTTGGTCGCCATTGCAGATAACACCAGGGAGAATACCAAGTTTTTGACTAAAATGTACGACTTGTTCCTCATCAAATGTGCCAAGATGTACCCAGACTGCAGCCTGGAGGCCATCTTAAACAATGACGGGCTGTCACCACTCAAGATGGCAGCAAAACTTGGCAAGATTGGGGTAAATGGATAGATCTTTCTTAAGTCAGTTGTTTAAGGTCATCTTGTATATGAGTGACATTTCCTTAAGTATCTTTCTGAAAATAGCAAGAGGAAGAGAATAGTTTATGCTGGGCTGCCGGTAATGGACAGAAAAGAGTCAATCGGTCTGTATGATCTAAATAAAAGGGAAGTTGGGGGTTTGGATTTTGCATATTGTCCATGCTGTGTTGGTGTTGGTGGTAGTGATGAGGGTGTTCTTTATGGTTACAGCACAATGTGCAGCCAGCCATAACTATAATTATGGCCTGACCCTCCCATTTATTTGGTTGGATAAACAGAAATCGATTCAGCTGCTTCACTTCAAAGCTTCAGATGTAGGTACCAACTGTGGCTCAGGAGTGAGAGTGTCACATTGCTGCTGCTTGTGGGAGCTTGCTGTGCACAAATTGGTAATAGGGTCGTAGAAGTCTACAACACAGAAAAAGGCTCTTTGGCTTGTCATGTCTGTGCTGGTCAAAAACAACCACCTAACTATGCTAATCCCATTTTCCAGTACTTGGCCCACAGTCTTGTAGGCCTCGGCATAAGTACACATAAAAATACTTCATCAATTTTATGAGGGTTTTTGCCACTACCACACTTACAGGCAGTGAGTTCCAGATTCCCACCACCCTCTGGCTGAGAAAGATTTTTTTCACATCTACTCTAAGCTTTCTGCTACTTAGCTTAAATCTGTAACCCCTGGTCATTGATCCCTTTAAGGGGAAATGTTCCTTCTTGTCTACCCTTTATATTCCCCTCATAATTTTATACTGCTCATTATATCTCCTCTCAATCTCCTGTTCTCTAAGGAAATCAATTCCAGTCTGTCCAATTCCTTTTTTTAACTTAAACTGTCTAGCCCATGTGACATCCTGGTCAATCTCCTCTGCACCCTCTCCAGTGCTATCACATCCCTCCTATACTGTGGATTCCAGAACTGCACACAATACTCAAGCTGTAGCCTATCAACATTTTATACAGTTCCAGCATAATCTCCCTGCTTTTAAACTGTATGCCTCGACTAATAAAGATAAATATACCACATGCACACTTTATCCATAGTGATAGTTTAAGGAACCGGTGGACATCCACGCCAAGGTCTCTCTGATCCTCGGTGCTTCCCAGGGTCCTACTCTCCATCATGTATTCCCTTGCCTTGTTTGCCCTGCCTAAGTGCATCATCTCACGCTTTCCGGATTGAATTCCTTTTGCCACTGATTAGCGCATCCCATTTGATCAGCCCATCTATATCCTCTTGTAGTCCAAGGCTATCCTCCTCACTACTTACTGCCCCATCAACTTTAGTATCATCCGTAAACTTACTGATCAGCCCTCCTACATTCAAGTCTAAATCATTTATATAAACCACAATCAGCAGGGGCTCCAACATGATCCCTGTGAGATCCTACTGAAAACCTGTGTCAAGTGGGAAAACATCCCTTGACCATTACCTTCTGCTTCCTGCTACTCAGCCAATTCTAGATCCAATTTGCTAAGTTTTCTTCAATCCCGTGGACCTTTGCTATCAGTTCTGAGGAAAGGTCACTGGACCTGAAAATTTAACTCTGATTTCTCTCCATAGATGCTGCCAGACCTGCTGAGCTTTTCCAGCAATTTCTATTTTTGACCTTTGCATCAGTGTCCCATGTGGGACCCAATCAATAGCCTTGCTGAAGTCCAAGTAGACAACGCTAAAAGCACATGTTGTTGCACTTGTTACATTTTTAACAGTGATGGCATTTTGACAATATGAATTTGATTGTTCAATGCTTTAGGATACACAGAATGAAACATTTGATTTGAGATAACACAAACATTCCCAAACCTTTTGGACTTTTATATCTAATTGTTTTAACTCTATAATATTTAATGACCTGGCCTCTTATTTTTGACAGGTTTTTCAGCACATTATCAGGAGGGAGATAAAGGATGAAAGTGCGCGTCACCTTTCTCGCAAATTTCGGGACTGGGCCTATGGACCAGTGTACTCCTCACTTTATGATCTCTCAGCGATAGACACATGTGGAGAGGAGGTGTCGTTGCTGGAGATCCTGGTCTACAATGGAAAGATAGAGGTAGTTGAGCCAATTTCCTTCCTTCTCTCTTCTAGGTGTTGGTTTCTCATTGGGTTCTGTTCAGTTCATCCTCTTCCAATATCACCTGGAAAAAACTGGCCATTGTTCACATGTGAGCCTTCACAAGTGAGCTATTTTGCTGTGGAGACTTTACACAAAACAAAAGCACCTTCTCACCCAACATTCACACAGAGACACACATACAAATCTTCACCAACATTCATAGCTTCATTAACATTTATGGCAAAGAATGCGGCTGTATGGCTCATCATTTTCGGAGCTATCCGGCCTAATCCCATTTTCCAGTTCTTGGTCCATATCCCAGTTCTTTAATTCCATATCGAAATATTTTTCAATATGATGAGGGTTTCTGCCTCCACCAACCTTTCAGACAGAGAGTTCAAGATCATTTCCACCTTCTGGATGCGAAAACCTGTCCTCAACACTTCTCTAATCATTCTGCCAATTATTTTCAATTGATGCTCCCCAGTTATTGAGCTCTCCGATAAGGAAATCACTGCAAATGAGATCGGAATCCATGCCGCGTTTTCACCCATCTAAAGGAGGTGTCAGTTGTTTGGTTTCAATTGGTACATGGCAGAAAACAGCTAATTCAGCATTTGAAACAAACCTGGAACCATTCTGATCGCTAGGGCTCAGGTCCTCACTGACTGAGCTCATGGAAACCTAAAAATTATAGACAGGGAGGCTTTGACACAGTGATGTTTGTAGGACGTGCTGCAGTTTCTGTTTGCCTTGCATGTAAACAGTCCATAGTTAATGCATTGTAATACCAACTGGATCGTCTAAAATGTATCACTCTCAGACGTTTTACTGTCAGGACAGGTTAGAACTTCGCTGTCCTCTGATGATGCCAGCATTGAGGTGAGACATTAGCCTCTTAGGTGCGTGTAAGGAAGATCAAGGGAGTTTTCCTGGCCATAATTTATCCCTCAATCAATATCACTAAAAATATTATCTGAACATTGTGATTGTGAAGATTACGAGAGCATACTGAGCAAAAATTGGTTTTCAAAAGTTCTTCTTTGGCTTTAAAATGCTTTTGACTATCCTGAAGCTACAAAAATGTTGTGAAGATGCAAGTCTTTTTTTAAAGGATCTCCCCAACAAGGGATTGTTTTATGCTAAAACTGAAGCTAAAACTTGGAACAATGTTCTGTTCTCTAAGGAAACAAACAAAAATTGGTAATAAAGCAGGATTTTTGATTGTGGTGTTTTATTGCCTCACGTGTGCTGTGGAATAGGTCTCTTGGCTTGTTTGTTTTTGTGTCAGTTCAGTCACTGGTAGAGCACTTGCTGGACTTGCCTCACTGTTTCCAGCCATCACATTCTGTGGCTCCAACATTCCTTGCCTTGGGTCAGAAGCCCCAACATGAAAGGAAATGGTGCAGCTGCTTCTTTCCCTGTGGCAATATGTTTCCTTGGCTACATAGTGACAGGGAGATCTCAATATGAGAAATCAGAATGGTACAGATAGAAGGAGAGTATTTGGCTCATCATGTCTGTGCTAGCTCTCTGCAAGTTCTACTTATCTAATCTGCATTTTATCATTCATCTTAAATCTGTATCCTCTCAATCTCAACCTTTCAACTGACAGGACTAGTTTCTTTTGATCCTCACTGTCAAGACCCTCACAATTTTGAACAACTTTATCAATCTCTTCTCAATCTTCTCTAAAGACAACATGCGCCAACTTCTCCAATTGATCTGCGTAACAAAACTCCCACATTTTTTATATATTCATTTACAGGATGAAGGTGTCACTAGCTAAGCCAGCATTTATTGCCCATCCCTAGTTGCTCGAGGGCAGTTAAGATGCAACCACATTGCTATGGGTCTGGAGTCACATGTAGGACAGACCAGATAAGGTTGGCATATTTCCTTCCCCAAAGGACATTAGTGAACCAGATGGTTGTTTCTCCCCCTGACAATCGGCATTGGTTTCATGGTTATCATTAGACTCTTATCTTGAGATTACTATTGAATTCAAATTCCACCACCTTACACTGTGGGATTCAAACCCAGGTCCCCAGAACGTTACCTGAGTCTCTGGATTAATAGTCTAGCGATAATATCACTAGACCATTGATCCACCCTCACATCCATGGAAGAATTCTCCTAAGTCTTCTCTGAACACTCTTTAAAGCCTCCACATCTGTCCTAAAGTGTGATGCCCAGATTTGGAGGTATTGAGTGCGATCTTGTGAGAAATGTGGGGACTGGCTCTCAGTGGGGCTGCTGTTTTCTTCCTTTCTTGCCAAGCCCCTCTCCTGCTGCTGGCTTAATGCCACTGAGGGTGGGAAAAGACTTTTAAGTAAGTATTAATTGTCTGCTTAAGATCCTCAATTGATGCCAGAGTAGGACCTCCCCACCACTTTAAAAGGGAGGTGGCAGTCTCCCCCACCTATTACCCCACCATCAGTTAAGTTCCCACATCCTGCCATCAAGTTCAGTACAGGGGAGGGCATCAGTTACTTGCTAGACACTTTCTTAACCTGCCCCACCACTTCTGTGTCCAACAATTTGTGTCCGTACATTGCCAGGGTCTCTCTGTTTCTTCCCTTTGAAGCTAAGTGTTTCAACTTTGTTGGCAAGCCTGTGACGTGAAACTTTGGAAGTCCATGTACATCGCATCAACTGCAGCATCCTTATCAACTTTGTCCTTCACCTCAGCAAAACAATTTAACTAAATTAGTTCAACATGATTTACCTTTAACAGGTCCAAGCTGGCTTTCTGTAATTTATTTACAGTTGTCCAAATCACTGGTAATCTCTTTCCTGGATTATCATTTGTAAAAGCTTTCCCAGTACCAAAGGTATATTGACCGGCTGTTGGGTTTCTCTTCACATGCTTTTTTGAACGACGGTGTAACATTTGTAGATCTCCAGTAGCCTAGCACTGCCCCCTGTATTTATGGAGCGTGGGACAATTTAGTCCAATAGCTCCAGAATTTACATGCTTAATTCCTTCAGTATCCTCAGATGCATCCTGTACATTTCTCCTGTTTTATATAAACCAGCCTCCTACCTCCTGCCTATCAGTTTTTAACCCATCCAGGACCACTATTAGGCCATTTGACTGATTAAGCCTGTTCCATTATTCAGTTAGATCATTGCTGATATTTTCCCTCAACCCCAGTTTCCTGAAGTATTTCCATGTCCCTTAATTCCTGAGCATCGAAAAACCTATTAACCTCTATGTTAAATAAACCCAATGAGTCAGAGAAAATGAGTGAGATTCTTAGTGAGTACTTTGCATCGGTATTCACTGAGGAGAGGGACATGACGCATGTTGAGGTTAGGGATAGATGTTTGATTACTGTAGGTCAAGTCAGCATAAGGAGGGGGGAAATGTTGGGTATTCTAAAAGGCATTAGGGTGGACAAATCCCCAGGTCCGGATGGGATCTATTCCAGGTTACTGAGGGACGCAAGAGAGGAAATAGCTGGGCCCTTAACAGATATCTTTGCAGCATCCTTGAGCACAGGTGAGTTCCCGGGGGACTGGAGAATTGCTAATGTTGTCCCCTTGTTTAATAAGGGTAGCAAGGATAATCCAGGTAATTATAGACTGGTGAGCCTGACGTCAGTGATGGGGAAGCTGCTGGAGAAGATACTGAGGGATAGGATCTATTTACATTTGGAAGAAAATGGGCTTATTAGTGATAGGCAGCATGGTTTTGTGCAGGGAAGGTCATGTCTTACCAACTTGATAGAATTCTTTGAGGAAGTGACAAAGTTGATAGATGAGGGAAGGGCTGTGGATGTCATATACATGGACTTCAGTAAGGCGTTTGATAAGGTTCCCCATGGTAGACTGATGGAGAAAGTGAAGTCGCATGGGGTCCAGGGTGCACTAGCTAGATGGATAGAGAATTGGCTGGGCAACAGGAGACAGAGAGTTGTAGTGGAAGGGAGTTTCTCAAAATGGAGAACTGTGACCAGTGGTGTTCCACAGGGATCTGTGTTGGGACCATTGTTCTTTGTGATATACATAAATGATCTGGAGGAAGGTATAGATGGTCTGATTAGCAAGTTTGCAGATGACAGTAAGATTGGTGAAGGAGCAGATAGTGAAGGGGACTGTCGGAGAATGCAGCAGAATATAGAGAGATTGGAGAGTTGGGTGGAGAAATGGCAGATGGAGTTCAATCCAGGCAAATGCGAGGTGATGCATTTTGGAAGATCCAATTCAAGAGCGAACTATGTGGTAAATGGAAAAGCCCTGGGGAAAATTGATGCACAGAGAGATCTGGGTGTTCAGGTCCATTGTACCCTGAAGGTGGCAACGTAGGTGGATAGAGTGGTCAAGAAGGCATACAGCATGCTTTCATTCATTGGACGGGGTATTGAGTACAAGAGTTGGCAGGTCATGTTACAGTTGTATAGGACTTTGGTTCGACCACATTTGGAATACTGCATACAGTTCTGGTCACCACATTACCAAAAGGATGTGGATGCTTTGGAGAGGGTGCAGGGGAGGTTCACCAGGATGTTGCCTGGTATGGAGGGCACTAGCTATGAAGAGAGGTTGAGTAGATTAGGATTATTTACATTAGAAAGACGGAGGTTGAGGGGGGGACCTGATTGAGGTCTACAAAATCGTGAGAGGTATAGACAGGGTGAATAGCAAGAAGCTTTTTCCCAGAGTGGGGGACTCAATTACTAGGGGTCACGATTTCAAGGTGAGAGGGGAAAAGTTTAAGGGAGATATGCGTGGAAAGTTCTTTACGCAGAGGGTGGTGGGTGCCTGGAACGCATTGCCAGCGGAGGTGGTAGAGGCGGGCACGATAGCATCATTTAAGATGTATCTAGACAGATACATGAATGGGCAGGGAGCAGAGGGATACAGACCCTTGGAAAATAGGTGACAGGTTTAGATAGAGGATCTGGATCAGCAGAGGCTCGGAGGGCCAAAGGGCCTGTTCCTGTGCTGTAATTTTCTTTGTTCTTTGAGTGAAATCACAGAGTTCTCCAGGGTAGAGAATTCCTGAGATTTCTGTTCCCCTGAGTGAAGTTATTATTTCTCAGCTAAGTGTTCGATGTTGTTTGCATGTTCTGAAACTGTCACTCTTAGTTCTTGACCCCCAACTGGGGGATCCCGCTTACTCCAGCTCACTGCTAATATAGGTTCTACTGGAGTCTTCAACAGTATGGGGAGGAATTGAAGATTAACAGAAAGAGGCTTTAGCAAACTGGCTCTGAAAACTCATAACTAAATTACAGATTTGTAAAAAAGGAAATCATAACTAAGAAATTACCAGGGAAATTTGTTTCATTCATTGTTAAATGTAATATCTCAATTTAATTTGCATCCCTTGCCAGTAATGCTCCTTTAATGACACTGGATGAATCCACTGTGCTCCTGGGACAGTGTCTCACCTTTTTGCACACAAATTGGCCAAAGTAGACTGGAAAATGTGTGCAGTTAATATAACAGTGTGACCTGATTTGTGAAGTGTGCTTCTGGCAGGTGAGACTCCTCTCTGCGTACTGACATTGGAAATGTTTCCCAATTTTGCCATTTTAAAATGATTGGGTGAAAAGTCCTTGTCAAACATGAGAGGTCATCTCCTGTAAAGTGGGACTCTAGAGAATTTAGTTCTCCAATCAAGTCTGAGGTCGAATCAACAGCTGGGGACGCATTGTAAAGCATTGTTCAAGAAATGGTTGCCTGAATAAACTTTCTCAGTATAAAGGACATAATTCTTAATGAATAGTTGGTAATCACATTTAATGTACTATCATTTAATAATGATAATTTGATCTATTATTGCCATGTGATGTCATTTTGATGAGAATCACATTTGTTGTTTCTGTTTGCCTCTCTCCAGGAACTAGGCTCATTGGTGAAGACTTCTATAAGCTTCAAATTTCCTTTCTTAAACCTCTCCACTTTTAAGTTTCTTTCCTCTGTTAAGCTGCTTCTTAAAACCCACACCGTTATCTGGCCCAATATGAGGTGATGTGATTCATTGCCACATTGTGTTTGGCATTTCTGCTGTTATATGCTTTGGGATGTTTCACCTCACTGAAGATGTTATATAAATGAAAGCTGTTGTTGTTTTGAATTTCTTTTGCAGAATCGTTATGAGATGTTAGCTGTGGAACCGATTAATGAATTATTTCGTGATAAGTGGAAGAAGTTTGCAGCTGTATCCTTCTACCTCAGTGTTATCTCCTATATTACAGCCATGGTCATATTTACCCTCATTGCCTATTACAGGCCTTCTGAAGGCAAAGTAAGTGTGAGCTGGGGCCTGTCTATCAATTAGTGACCTGTCTGTTCCAATTTGCCCTCTAATTTTTCCTGGACTGAGCTGCCCATTCATTTAAGTGTGAGGGCCCTTTAATTTGTTTTTGCACCATCATATGACAGTTTGAAGGGCCAATTTGTGGACAGGAGTTTTCTGGTTACTGGATGGCTTAGAGGGAACAATTGTCTGTTCTCTGTCTTCTTGCAGTAATCCTCTCCCTGTGAGTCTATTCATGTGCTGTCTGAAAGAGTAGTGGAAGCAGATTCAAAAGAGAATCAGCCATGCATCGAAAAAGGAGACATTTGCGGTGCTTTTGGAAAAGAGCACCGGAGTGAAACTATTTTGTATTCCTTCAAAGAGTTGACACAGGCATGATGGGCTGAATAGTCCTCTCGGGTGCTGTGAGAATCTAGGTTGTACCTTAAATCCAGTCTCAGCACTTGAGGATTCAGGGCTGAGCAGATTACTTCCAATCTGCAGGCTGACTTGTCACTAATAGGGACAAGATCCCAGAATATCACCATCTGGTTGTTCCCCTCTTACTTATTGGTGTTTGCAGCATCCTGTGAACATTTAGCTGTCTGCTTGCTACCCAGACCAGGAAGTGAGCAGAGTAGTGAATTGAGCTTGTGATCTTATGGTTCTGTCATTAAGGAGCTGATGCTGTGCTCCAGGCCAAACTTGGGTTTTTCTACTTAGCTGTCAGTACAAAGCAAGCTTAACAGCACAGTAAGCTGAACTGCAATTCCCTGCAATCATACTTTCTGAATAATTATTCATAGCTGCCTGTGCAACTTTGCCTTAATGTAGTTAGCAAATTTGATAGAGGGAGCGATGTAGTATCTAGCCAATGTGCATACTTACAAGTAATGTGAGGACAATATTGTGTCAGCTTTCATAAAGGGTCAGACTAAATGTTAAAAATACTTTGTGTTGGCATCTCCAGTGTGAAGAGCTGTCCTTGCTCCCTTTTTTACCTTCACATTACAGCAGCAATCACAGCAGTTTCAAATGTGCCACTCCACAAGAGGCTTTCCACAGCGAGTGGGATGAGGTGGGGTTGTGGGTTTGCTGCAGAGAGGTAATCAGAGTGAGGGCCATCCCAGGAAAATTAGGCTCAGATGCTGGGTCTGGTTTCACACACAGATTAAGGCTGCAATTGCCATTGCATTAGCTGTGGTTGATGGGCAGACTGGTGACACCAGAAAAAGGGGAGAAGATGAATGGAATGGAGCTAGTGCTCACCTATTACCATTCTTTTTAACTATCTCTCAGCTCCTGTTTCAGGCTCTGAACCCTGCTTGATCACTCACTGTGGTTTCATCAGGGATTCTCTCCTTCTAATCTCTTGCAGCCTCCTTACCCGTACAATACAACAGTCGACTACTTTCGAATGGCTGGAGAAATTATCACTGTTGTCACTGCCATCTTCTTTTTCTTCACAAACGTAAGTAGAGGAAAATAGTTTGTCAAGAATTCAGTGCCGTTGAAAAGACAAACTAGACTTAATCGCCATTAACCATGTACTTCCAAACAATGTTGTCATTATGGTTTCGCCAGGAAGGCTTTAACAAATCTGATTGTCCACTGTTTTGAGTAATGGTGGCAACTGTGTTCCAGGGTGCCTGTGCAGGTCCTGTAGGCCAGAAGGAACATCAATGTGGCACTATTGTGGAGAGTGCTGAGTGAAAGTCAACGCCTTTCCAACGGGTGGGTAGGGAAAACTGAATGCCGAATTACACTGAAGGATTGTCCCACCTGCCCATCAGTGAATGTCTTCAGGGTGGCAATGGGAAGGTTATATGTCGAGACTGTACATTTTCAAAACTTTGGATGGTGTGTGATGTCGAAGGGAAAATGGGGAAGAGATGAGGAAAACAATGGAAGAAAGAGAACACAAACAAAACCAGAAATAGCTGGGAAAGCTCAGTGGGTCAGGCAGCATCTGTGGAGAGAAATCAGAGTTAACATTTCAGGTGGAATGGTCCTTCCTCAGAACTGAAGAAAAACAGCATCTTGCCCTACTAACAAACACAAAAAACCTTGATATTGTTCAGTTGAATACAAAAAGGAGAAAAGTTCACCCTCTGTTGGTACAGCAGCTGATACATGTAACCTGTCACTACACCACAATTATTTTATTCCTCGGTCTTGTCTCCTTCCTTTGAGTCGGACTGGGCCAACACTGGGGCATGGATGCCCAGGCGGAACTCACCACTCACTTGCTTGTATTTTACAGCTAGAGTTTTTTGAGGAGGAATCTAGGACTGATTCTGCCCCTTTCTATTGCATGAAAGATGATGGCCAATATTGTAGCTGAGATGATCTAACTCAGTAAAGACCCATGATTCACCATGGGATCTTGCTTCTTGGGTCATTGAGTTTTGATGGCTGCTCCTGTGAACTCAGGAATTTCCCTGCAGCAGGAAAAATAGAGCTACTTCCTGGCAGTGCATGGGGCTGAAATTCTTTTACAGTTTTGAAAATATACATTCAAAAATATACCACAACTTTTCTATAGTATCTTCATGATTTGATTCTAAATATATAACTTTAAATGTTATGAAGTAAAGATGGAGAAAAAGAAGGGGGCATGTGACATTTCTCACAATATTTGCTTAAGAATATTTTGTTTGTTTTAACATAAATGTGTTCATTTATTTGTTTTGAAACATAGAACCAGTGGTGTGTAAAAACTATTGCATCAATGAGGCAGTTCAAAGTTTCAAAGGAGAGATAAGGATTTAATTCCTCCAGGATCCTCCCTTCCTGAACGTTGCTGACATGTCCAGCTAATGCCAAGAACCTCCCAAGACACCAAAGATTACCCATGCACATGCATATGTAGACACACACAGAGACACACATAGAAATACACACATCAGCATTGTTAAGGTGGAAAGTTCATGACTGGTATTGAAGGACCCTCCATAATGGAGAGAAAGATTAAAAAAAATGTTTTTAACATGCTGCTAGTATTGGAGTTTTGTGTGTAGTCGTGGATGCTGCACTATAGAAGGGACGTGAGTGCATTGGAGACATTGCAAAAGTGATTTACAAGAATCCTCCTAGGGAATGAGGAACTCCAGTTATGTCGATAGATTGAAGATGTTGGGACAATTCTGCTTAGCTAAGATTTAATAGGTTTTCAAAATTATGACCAGGGTGGATAGAGTAGATAGGGAGAAACTGTTCCCACTTGTAAAAGGATCAAGAGCCACATGGCACAGGTTTAAAGTGATTCCCAAAAGGAACAAATGAGAACATTCTTTTTCACTCAGCAAGCAGTTAGGGTATAGAATACACTACCTGGAAGGGTGGTGGAAGCAGGTTGAATTGAGGCATTCAAGTGGACACTGGACAATTATGTAAATAGAAACAAAATACAACTTTATAGGGGACAAAAGAGAAATTTAGCCACAGGCAATGCTGTTCATTTGAAGAGCCAGTGCTGATGTGATAGGCTGAATGGCCACCTTCTGCACTGTAACACTTCTATGATTATGTATGAAAACAAGTAAAATTTTTCTTCCATTGCACAGGTGAAGGATTTGTTCCTGAAGAAATGTCCAGGAGTGAACTCCATGTTTATTGATGGATCTTTCCAGCTGCTTTAGTAAGATGTTCCTTAATTCCTTAAAAGTTAACACGCAATTCATGTTATAAGGCGCTCACTTTGCTTAAAAATAGCCTATTACCTGTGCCTGAGTATCATTCATGGTCAATTGCATTTACAGTGAGAATGATGTTCCTTATGGCCGTGACCTACATACACAATTGGACACTGCTTTTCTCCAGAATAGCCCTGTACAGTGTTTATTAGTGCTGTAAATCAAAAGCCTAAAATTCAACCACACTAACATTCCGAAGTAATTATGTGATGTTTATAGTGTGACTGGCCCTCCAATTAATTCCTTTTCATTCAAACTATTGGAAATACCAGTAGAACATTGTGGCATTTCAAATCTGCCCACAAGTAAACAACCTTGGCTGGATCACATTAAAACCAACTTCTTCATGACAAAAGGAAAATTTATGAATGATCGAACCTGTACAGAGGCAGCAATGTCCTGCATCTTGTTCAATTCTAACTCTTTGAGTGAACAAATCTCAAATTCTTAATGTAGAGCCATTAGGAACATATTATTCTAGACTGCTGTTCTTAAGGGTGAAACATGGAACAGGTAGTGCAGGATACCTTCTAGCACAGGCTTTGCAGTGCAAGAGTAAGGAAAACCTGGTACAATCATATAGGACTTCGGTGAGACCACAATAAGAGTCCTGTGTATAATTTTCACTGAGGAAGGATATACTTGCGTCAGATATAGTACCCTGAAGAGTCACTAGATTGATCCCTGAGGTAAGAGGATTCTCAGAGTGCTTGAGGAAAGGTTGGTTCCCCTGGCAGGAGGGTCTAGAGTAGGGGTAATTATCTCAGGTTAATGGGCCAGCTATTTAGGACTTAGATAAGGAGAAATATTGTCACTCGTGTCGGAGGGTATGGTTATGAATCTTTGGAATTCTCTATTGCAGAGAGATCTGGATGCTCAGATACTGAGTATATTCAAGATTGAAATTATAGTTTCTTGGACAGACAGGGAATGAAGGGATATGAGGATAGAACAGCAAAGTGGAGTTGAGGTGTAAGATAAGTCATGATCTGAGCAGTTTTAAATGGCTGAATGGCCAGTTCCAGTGATTTCTTATGGTCTTATGCTCTTAGCTACTGGGAGGACAAGAGGTTGGTGGAACCAAGAAATGAGCATTGGATTGCAAGTTTGACTGGTTTTGTGTATTTTCAGTATTGGAAGCTTACAAATGTGGGAATCAAGGCACATGCATGTAATAGCTTTTAATGAAGTTCCCAGGCCTGTGAACCAATACAGGAAAGGATACAAGCCCAGGTTTCTCACAACCTCCTTGAATGGGGGAGGATTCTAGACTTGAAGCACCCTGACATGTGGCACTGTGCCATGTACCCAACGAGACATTTTAGGGGGCCTCCATCAGTGAGTTACACAAGTCTGAGACATATTAACTTCTTCAGGCCTCAGAAGATGGTGGGTGAGAGTGATTGGTGGGTTTGGGTGGTGAGAGATAGCATGGTGGGGGTGGTAACCAATGTTTGTGGGAAAGTTGGCATTCAAGTCTTGCCTTAGAACTCCCCCTGCTGGTCTCTGGATAACAGCTGGTTGCAGCCTCCAGTATTCATTTACCTCTTACATCAATCAGCCTGGCAGCCCAGAAAATAGCCAGTGAGGGATCACAGTTAAGTGAGTACTTGAGTAGTTTGCTGTCTCTGCTCACTGCAAATCCATGTAAAGAATATAGTCCTAAGACGGACAATTTAGGCTGCTAGGTGATAACATAAAGAGATACATTATTGAGATACAGAATTTGAATGGACATAATATTGCAAGGGTGCCCAAGCTTTTGTGGTCTTGGGTAATACTGGCGAGCAACATGGCATCTTGGGAGTTTCAAGAATACAATTCATCTTAATTTTATGGTACTAACAGGTCATCAGTTTAATATTAACCAATTTGAAATTCATCCCGAAGACCACAAGATGTAAGAGCAGAAGTAAGCCATTCAGCTCATTGAGTCTGCTCTGCCATTCAGTGAGACCTTGACTGATCTAATAATCCTCTACTCCACTTTCCTGCCTTTTCACTGCAACCTTTAATTTGCTTATTTCTCTCTGAACCTTGAATATATTTAACAATACAGCTTCAACAACCCACAGATTCACAACCTTCTGAGAATAAATTCCTCCTCATCTCAGTTTTAAATGTGTGAACTATTATTCTGAGATTATGTCCTCCGGTCCTAGACTTTCCCACAAAGGGAAACAACTTTTCCACATCTACCCTATCAAGTCCCCTGAATCTTATATGTTTCAGAGGTCATCTTTCATTCTTCTAAACTCATAAATAGAGCTACAAGTTCTAAACAACAATCCTCATACTATTAACTTACAAAACTCAAACAAGACATGACAACATGTTAGAACTGGAGTTCAGGTTCAAAAGTAAGGACTTGGGGATGGGTTGCAGGTCACATGTTTGCTGAAGCACCCTCCTGCAGCGTTCGGATACATAACGAGAGAAATGGGAGCATAGCTGAGATTCTACCTCTCAGTTCACCCCTCAAAGAGGCAGTGATTCTGAGATTGTGGGCTAATAATCTATCAGTCTGTTTATGCTTCTGTTGACCAAGCCCCTGTGGTGCTCCTGTGTTGCAGTTTTATTTATTCCATCCTGGTGTTGGTGTCGGCGGGACTGTACTTGGCTGGTGAGGAGTCCTATCTTGCTGTAATGGTGTTTGCTCTGGTCTTAGGCTGGATAAACACACTGTACTTCACCAGGGGCCTGAAGCTAACAGGGACCTACAGCATTATGATACAGAAGGTGGGTATAACGATGGAACAAACTTTGGAAAATGCACATTTTCACAGAAGAGGCCAGGAGAGTTGACAAGCTAATCCTGTGTGGCTCTGTACAATGACATCCAATTTTCTCTTGAACATACTTTGCAAAATAAATAATTCCCTAGCTTACTCATCGCCTTTTATTTATTACCTTTTTATCCTGTCAAAAGCCTTAAGAGGTTCCATGGCATTACTTTGCAACCTCCTTTTGTTATTCAATGAGAATAAGCCCAATTTTCTTGGGCTACGTTCAGAACAAGGATCACAAGCTTAAAATTTCAGTCAGGGATGACTTCAGGAAGGAGAGTGAGGATTTGGAACCCTGCCCCTGCATCGGAACTGCTGTTGCTGCTGGGGGTCAAGTGGACATGTCAACACTGAGATTTATAGTTCTTTGGTTAAGCAAAGGGTATAAATGGGTAGGGAAACAATGCTGGTAAGTGAAGCATTTGTTTTAGCTTTTCCTCATACACCTTCTTCCCTGTGGGGAGATAATGGAAAGATTCCTTGGTTTAATATCAACCTGTTGGACTATATAATGGACAAACCTGGTGTGGGATTTGAATGTGGAGATTCAGGTCCAAAAGCCAGGAATCCACTGCCACAAGACCTCCTAACAGTAAATAGAGCTTAGACATGAAACAGATATGATCTAATTAAATGGTGGAACAGGCTCAAGAAGCTGAATGGTCATGTCCTGTTCCTGTGTACCTTAAGTATTCCCCATACTGTAGATTCCTTATACCTGAAATCAATATTCTTTCTCATTTCTTTGCCCTCTCAAGGGCAGTTATCTTTCAGAAAATATTGTTGCCTGTCCCTACTTGGCTTGGTTTGAGTGGCTTGTTTGGCCATTTTAGAGGGCAGTTAAGATGCAACCACATCACTTGAAAAAGAAGACCGTTGAACACTTACCTGATGTGCCCATTGATTTGCATGTTACTCTGGACGGCTGGTTTGTGATACAGTCCTGCCAACAGCATGGGTTCAAGTCCCATAGTGGCTGAGGTTACCATGAAGGTCCTGCCTTCTCAACCTCACCCCTTGCCTGAGGCATAGTGATCCTCAGGTTAAACTCACCACCAGTCGTCTCTCTCTCTCTAATGAGAGTGGTCCTCTGAGACTGTGGTAACTTTACCTTATTCTTGTTCAAATAGTGCAACTGTAACAAGTGAAGGGAGGGAGAGTATGCCCATTTTTTTCATTTATCATGTGAATCAGAGCAAAATAGACATGTGGGGCTGGGTGGGGGGGTGTGGAATGTAAACATAACAGGCCTGAATCTGAGATTATTGTTTATGTTGCCAAAATTAATGGATAGACTAATTAAGAGGCAATTTATGAAAATGATAAAATGACTATTTAAGCACACACTCAGCATGAACTATCACAGCCTGTCGCAAAATTAAGCAGAATAGACACTTCAGATTTAAGGACAGATAAATCTTTAGCAGTTTCAGGATTCTGGATGATAATTTCCTGGGCATTGAGCCTGAGTGAATTCTGGATATCCTTGTGGGCTGGGACCATTGTGACCAGAGCCCAAGCATGTTAATGGACATTGAGGAACTGAAGTGCTGACCAGGAGCTCCAGACATGTTTTGGGGAGTGACCTCATTTACATTGCCACTTAATCTGTCAGCTTCCAGTGCTACTAGGTGTGTTGCCAACTCTCTAGAATTGTCTTGGAGTTCCCAGGAACTAAAGATTAATCACCCAGACATGGTCATATCAATTCAGGAGAAAAAGTTATACAGACATAAAAGTGGAATTTTAAGCAGTAATGTGGACAGGGCACTTAGGAGGAATGAGATTGTCCTCAAGGAATGTGACTGGGCACAGTTGGCAACAGTAGCTGGTACATTGGACATAAAATCAAATTTGACCTTCTGGACCTGATGATGAAGACAACAATCATCCACTGGTACATCATTAACTCTTTGGCTTTGGGAAAGAAGAGGTGATAGTGAATTTGCGAGTCTGTAGAAGGGATGGATAAAGAGATTGACTTGCTTATATGTACTTGGTTCTCCTGGCACAGAATCAACTTGTCACCTTGAAACCTGAGCTCATCAAATCCACTTTCAGAAGAAACTTACAAAGAAGATTCCAATCTTGACTTTGGAATGTGCTTGTTTGAGCAAACCTCTTGTTTCAGCCTTATAAGATATTGTAGCTCCTCTGACCCCTCTAGTATGCTCCAGAAACTGCAACCACATTTACAGAATATCACACAGGAGACCTGTGCAACTCCTTTGTAACTTCATCTTTTTGATCCCATTGCACATTTAAATCGTCTGACAAAATTGTCCTTTTTTTTCAGATCCTGGTTAAAGATCTTTTCCGGTTCCTTCTGGTTTATGTGTTGTTCATGATTGGCTTCACATCAGGTTTGTAATGTTTTAAACGCAACCATCTTGAGGTGGATACTGGCAAAGGTGTAACTTTTGGGGGCTTGTTATAAAGGGTGTGTTACGACAGGGAATAGTCAAACCACTCTGATAATCACCAAAACACAAGCCCCAATCTGCTTTGATAGTATTAGAGGTTCCATTCTAATAATTACCCCCAAAACTCCCAGAAAAGCTCGCCTTTCCCCTCATAACCTGTTAAATGAATGGATCAAAGAAAGAAAATCCCTGATCTCCACTTTACAAATAACTAGAAACAATTTATTTGCTTAACTGTAACAATGAACAAATTAACAGAATTACTAACAAATCAAATACATCCTCCCTAGACTACTAACTACTCCCTAACTGGTCTAAATTCTACTGGAATGCTGTTTAAACAAAGACAAGTCCCACCAATATAAACCCAATTAATAAGAAGCAATAAATTATAACTTAATCTCTCCAAGTTCGCACGGACTGACTTCTGGAATATTCTGTCGACTCCGGTCTCTTCCCAAACACCTTTCTTCCGTTAATTCTGCTGTCAGGGATGTTTTATCTCTACAATTTCTTTAGTGAGAACTTTGAGCTGAAATACTGTGGTACTTCTGATTAATTAGATGGGCTTTCTCTGAGAGCTGAATGATGCTAACTCTGGCAGGTGGTGGATGGTTGTCCCTTTCAGTTGGGAGTTGGCTCTCTCCAATTTTCCAAATGCCCTCGTCTTATATACCTGTAATTACATAATCAAATTCTTATGAGGTTGTTAACACCATCAGATTTAAATTCAATTGGTTTTGAATCGCTAAGTTTGGTTTTAAATTAATTGGCCAAATACAAACTCATTGTCACAACATTAAAATAAGACTGCTGTTTTGCCTACCACCTGTAAGGCTTTTTTGATACACTTGTTTCATTTTTTGAGGCTCTCTGCACTGGCAACTTCAGCTGCTGCTCACAGTCAGACATTTTTTTAAGACAAAGCACAAATCTCTTAAAGGAACATTTTAGCTTCCTGCCTTTCACTTCACAATTACTTTATCCAACTTTGGAAAAGGGTTATAAAATGATAAACATGTAAGGTTGAGGGGTGCGGTAGCATGTGGCTTTTGCACTCATCAGTCCTCATGTTGAGCTTGTTCTGTGAGCGGTGGTTATGGAGGAGCTGAGATTGGATTGCTTTTGGGATAGTTATCCTGGGATTAACTTCCACAGCAGAATCTAGTTACACTGACATTTGCTGGATACCTATCCAGTCTTTTTGGTTTAATATGCATAATGGAACAGGAAGCCTAAAGAAAGAAAACAAATCTTTCTTCAGAAAACATGTCATTAAATTTGTTTCTAAAATAAATTTATGGAACCGCAGATTAGTTTTGTACATACCTGCTTTTAAATGTTAATGCTGATGTCTGCCATTTCCATTCCAGCTCTGGTCTCACTGTTGATGACTTGTCCCAGTGATGATATTACACTTCAAACTTGCGACATTACATCTGACTCTCCCAACTGTACGAGTTCGACATATCCCATCTGTAGAGACAACTTGTCATTCAGCAAGTTCCTCCTGGAGCTTTTCCGACTCACCATTGGCATGGGTGACCTCGATGTTATCAACAATGCCAAGTACCCCATTGTGTTTGTCATCCTCCTGGTCTCCTACATTATCCTAACCTTTGTGCTCCTGCTGAACATGTTAATTGCTTTGATGGGTGAAACTGTGGGTCAGGTTTCTAAGAAGAGCAAACAAATCTGGAGACTGCAGGTAAGATTGAGCAGTGCAGAGATTGCAAGCATAGTTATATCCTTTGCTTTGAATATTTCACAATCATAAAGGGAAGGTTCAACAGGCCGAAGCAATCTCTATCAGCATTTACTCTCCTAATAAGTAAATAGGTCTACTTGCTTTTACCCATCCAACCTGTATCCATATCCATTCATCTTTTCTCTCTCATTCATTTCCCAAATCTGATCTTGAAATTTGATACAGTTCCTGCCTTCACCACAGAGGCTGGAGTGAATTCTGGACACCTAAGTCTGTGTGAAGAAATTTCTCCCAAACTGTTCTAAATTGAGTGCATCCAGTCTTATATCAGTAGTCCCATATTATAGATCCCTGAGTTCTGGAAGGTCTTTCTTCCAAACACATTAAAACCACTGCATTTCTGCCATGCTTGTAACATCCTTAAAAAGCTTTGTGGTTTGTGAAAAGCAACCATCTTTTGAAATCTATAATGGCTGCTTCCAGCTATTTCCTCAAAGCTGTGAGATATCTAAGCTCCAGACAGTATAGTACAGCAGATCTTCCCATTGGGATTGAATTAAACAATCAGACAATGTTTGAATTAAACAATCAGACAACGTTCCTGGCCCTATAAGGGTCATAATGGTTGTAGAGAAGACAGTTCCTCCTGTGGGAGAGTCTAGAACTAGGACTCACTGTTTTAAAATAAGGGGGTCACCATTTATGAGAGAAATAAGGAAAACACTTTTGTATCAGAGGATAGAAATGCTTCCTGAAAAAGATGCCTTGAAAAATATTTGGGATAGCAGTAGATAGACTTTTTATAGTGATGTCAGGTTATCATGGGAGGGGGGAGGTGGGAATGTGGAATAATCAGATGAGCCATGATCTCATCGATTGCCAGGTTAGGCTTGAGGGGCCGAGTGGCCTATTCCTGCTCCTAACTTGTGTGTTTGTATGTGCTGCACGGTAGCTTTCTTGCTGTCAGTCCGCAAAGTTTTCCTTAAGTGAAGAGAAAGTGAGAAAACAGAAGGTGCATTATCCAGATATAATAAAGGGGGAAAGGGAGAAAGAAGGAGACAGAGTCATGAGAAAGTGTGGAATTAAATGTGCATGGAAGGGGAAGTAGTGCAGGGGTTGGACAGCACTGTGAGATCTAGTTGGCCGCTCAACATTTCTGATACATGGGTCCAGTCTCCTGTACGAGATTCGGTGCAATTGATGCAGAATGTGTAAAAGTGACCATTGAAATAATATCTAATGTTTCTTGTCATGATCAGTGGGCTACAACTATCCTGGATATCGAAAGATCATTCCCAGTGTTTTTAAGAAAAGCATTTCGTTCAGGAGAGATGGTTACTGTGGGAATCAATTCTGATGGTACTCCTGACCGGAGATGGTGTTTTAGGTAAGAAAGAGATAAGACTTATGTTTTTTTTTAACTTGTACTTAATGATTATCTATGCACAGGACAGTTTAAGTGACTGGTACAGACACACTGGGGCTGATTTATTGCAAGGCCCAGTTACAATTGCCTCGCAAAAGCTGCCATAAATATGAAACCCAAAGGACTGGTGAAAGACACTTCCAACCATCCACTGACAATCCAGCTCAGCATCCCAGAAAGGACTCATACTATCCAAACGGGGCACAGTGTCAGCAAAATAAATATCAGCAACAACTGAAGCTTTGAGTTGAGATCCTTTGTTAGAACTGCTAAACAGTTTCCAGCTAGAACATGCAACCCTCTTTTTTCCCTGATTTCCATTGTGGATATTTTTAATTGATCTGTTCAGAGATGTTACTACATAACTCTAGAACAGGTAGGATTTGAACCCAGGCTTCCTAATGCAGAGGTAGTGACACTACCACTGCACCACAAGAACCCCAACTGAAGTCTGTTGTAAATTTCACGTGTCGTGCTCTTTGAGAACATTTGAATGTTGATCCAAGGGAGCTAAAATAATTGCCTTGGATTGAACCTGAGAGGTGGGATGGAACTTTAAATCAATTCTAGTAATGCTCCTTATAAACTTCTTGTAAAGTAATGGTACAATGGACGTGACTTGTTGGGAACTGCGGGATCTTACACAATGTTCATACAGTGCAACATTCCACCCTAATATCATTATGTATAAAGTGATGTTTTCTTCAGCACGCCACGTATACCACAGGTATGACTCTGGTTCTTTTTGTACAGAGATTGTTTTAGCTGCTATTGGGAGTCGGGGGAAGTCGGGTGGTCGTGGGGCTTTGGGGAGGTGGGGGCAGGTCTTGCACGGACAGTGAGCATGGAGGTAGGTCAGGGTGGTATTTCAGGCTCCCAGCCATTGACTTTGTTCACCATTTGACCACTGCTGGGATTGGTGGCCAAAGGGCTACCTGACCATAAGTGTGGGTAACCAATTAAAGCTTTTTAGTAGCCAATTGAGAGAGGCCTATGGAAATTTCCAGTCAGCCCACACCTTCAACTGCATAGCTCCCCGGAGGTGGCCACCAGGGGGCACTCTGATTGTTTTTAAATTGTGAAATATACAGACAGAGCACCTCTATGTTCCCGACCTGCAATGGCAGCTCTTACCCATTTTGAAGAGATCCTGCCTGCCATTAATTGGATGGAAAACCTACCTTCTGATCATTAATTAACTGTTCCCATAGGCCAAAACCACTGCTGCTTGACTGCCTCCTACACAGTTTGAGGTTTCAACCCCCATTTAACCCAAATGTGAGATTCCAACCCCAAAAGTTGAATCCTGCCCCTTGGATTTCTACACATTATGGCATTGGGCAGCCACTCAGCTCTAGGTGTGAGGTATCAGACACTGAACAACTGATCAAGATTTGTACATAAACTGGCTTCAGATTAGGTGGTCACTTTGTTGCTATGATAATTTTATATGATCACATTTCTTTCTTCCATTTTCCAATACTGCCTACACTCAACAGTAACCATGACATTGCTGTCTCTGTGTATATTCCAGAGTGGATGAGGTCAACTGGTCTCATTGGAACCAAAATGTTGGAATTATTAATGAAGATCCAGGAAGGAGTGACACTTACCAATATGATGCTGGTTTTTCTCACACCATTGGGCGGCTACGGCGAGGTGAGCTACAATTGCATTTTTACTTACAAGAGAACCATTGATATAACAAAATGCAGTGAAACCTGTGAATTAAAGGCGATTCAGGTGCTGGTAACAACTGTCCTAGATATGGGAAAGTTTTGGTAGAATTGGGAGTTATTTTTCCAGCATCCATAGTCCCTAGGACAGAGCAGTACAAGCATTCATTTCCGGAGACAGGGTGGTTTCTCTACATGTGTGCATTCTGGGTAAGTGCTCCCCATTCCATTAAAACCAGCTCATTCACAAAACGTGCTGCCTTTCACTCACCACAAACGTCACGCGAATTTAGGGGCACGAAGGAAGCAAGTTGCTAGGGGAAGTGATCTTGACCCAGTGAAAACTCCAGATACAGTGACTTTGCAGCATGCTGCCTCCCATGGTTAACTTGTGAAAAGGTTTGGTGAATCAAAAGCTGTCCCAGTTCATTATTTGTAGATGTCCATGGTTTCAGAGTGGATCTTGTATATTCACCACACAAGTCCTTTGGGTCTGTGAATGTGTCAGTTTAGTATGGAGTGTTCATTTTTGGACAGGTTTCAGTACATTCTAACTTCCAACCCATCATGAGCTCAAGCCAAAGGTATAATTTCCCAGGGACAGACAAAAGAAAAAGGAAAACAAATTTATGGAAAGCCTTTGAAAACCTCAATCTTACTACTGAATAATGTTTTGTTCATAACTTAATTGTGCATAATAACAAAGGTACGGATTTTCTGCTCAAGTTCCAGCATGAAGCATGGTACCTGGCTCATGTAAATTTTAAAGACGCAGAAAGCTTGTGGACATTTATATAGTTCCTTTAATATCTCAAGCTCTTAATAAGGACACTCCATTGTAAATTTGCTTTTTTTAAAGAAATTCCAAAGTTGGTTGGCCACCAATGAGCATGTCAGTTTCCACCCGGTGCACTCCAGCCCCTGAATGTGTCCATGCCTCTGGAAAAATTGGCCTTAATTAGGAGCACCACACATGCACTGCAAATTCAGACTGAAACCTCTTAACCTGAAGGGGATCCCTGATCTGGTACCATATCACTGACTTTTCCGGCTGTAATTTGTTTACCGACACATTTCTGATGAATATCAGATGAAAAAGCAACCTCCTGGAATCTGAGATAACAAGGTGTAGAGCTGGATGAACACAGCAGGCCAGGCAGCATCAGAGGAGCAGGAAAGCTGACATTTCGGGTCTAGACCCTTCTTCAGAAATCCTACTCCTGGAATCTGACATACTTTTTATGATGAATTAAAATCAGGAAAATTTGGACTTCTGTTGCTTTTTTTTGTGAGTCATAAGTAACCCCAGAGGTCAGCATTTGTGAAATGTTGAACAAATCTATCTTCAGTAGCGTGTAAGGTGAAAGTCTGTGGTGGTGGTGGTGGAGGAGGAGGTGGGGAGGTGGCCATCAGGGTATTGACTGATTTTGTCAATTAACTACCACCTGTATTTCTATTCATGCAGACCGCTGGTCAACTGTGGTTCCACGCGTTGTGGAGTTGAATAAAAGTTCCCGTCCCGATGATTTTGTGGTGGGAATGGAGCACCTTGCGTTGGAAAGGAAATATGGTGATGGAAATTGGCGGCAACATAGCCACCGGAAGAAAGATGAAACACACATTTAATTATTTATGTTATTTGATAGATGCTAGAATTGAACTTACAAAGCCAGAACCAATTCAAAATCAGATCGAGGTTCTTACAAGGGAATGTTTATGATTGAAAGTTAGTGCCACAAGACACATACTGTCCCTTGTAGGGATCTGTACACAATATATTACAATTCATGATGTTCAAAACTAGAAAGTTGGTGCCAGTTAAGAACAGACTATCTCAGAAATATTTACTTCCCACTCTCAGCTGTTGTGAAGTCTTTTGTCCGCCCTGCTGTTCTGCGGTAACATCTTCCTGGGAGCAAGTGTATTTCCCATCCCTCCTCACTCCATCTCCATCATGGGTCTTTCATCCAGTAATATAATGCTGCAGGTGTTAGATTTATGGGGTTGAATTTCTGCGAGTTTTCCTGATTTCATAGAAGAATGAGGCAGTTTCTACTGACATTTCACTGTATGGTCTCTGCATTATTGGATAAACTTATTGCTGTATGTTTTTATAATGCTCAGTACAGGGCTGGATATCCATGCAGCAGAAATAATTGTGCTTCATCATTTCTGCTCCAGTCACTGACCTGGATATTCATACAAGTAAAATGGAGAGTAGCAAGTGGACTTCATAAACATTTGCATTCACTACGCTATTGTCCAGTTCCTTGCAGCTGAGATGGCTATGCACCAATTCTCTCAATCAGGAGTGCCCACAATCTCCATTTCCACTGTTGCGAGATACTGAAGACGTTACTCTCATGTGAACATTCTTTTTGTATACAGCCAAATGGTAGTGAGCTTTTCTAAAGGCTCCGGTCAGCCTTTGTTACCAGTCAGAGTGGGATCAGCAGAAGCACAAATTGCTACTTATCTGCCAGTGTAACTGACCCAAAACCAGCTCAAAAGGAGATGTGAGTGATTGGATTCAGGGTAGAACCGTTCTCAACAAAGACAACTCAAATAGAAAAAAATCCTCAGGAAAGTAATAAGAGAGAATATCATCTCCCAGGTATAAGTTTGTACATAGTATAAAAGAGATAAATAATAGCAAGCTTGTCTCTTGTGGCTTGCTCGTATGATCTGTAGCTTTGCAATTGTAGATTTGTTGCACCATCTAATGCACAATATATCCTGCTGCTTTTAAGGGAATCTGTGTTGACCTTGATAATTCATTTAAAAATATGTAGGTATGGGGTTATCTGATTCTGGGGGTGCTATTCAGCTTTAGCTGGTCCAGCAGGTCACTTGGCCACTACAGAATCTGTCTGATTTTCATCACCTACAGACTTAGGGCAGGTTCTTTATTAGATAAATAATTCAGCCAATTTATCACCCAAATTGCCACCTCAGTGGCTAAATTTAAATACCCTAGGCATAAACAGGGTTGCATTGGGCATTAAATTAGCTTGTAACTCACCACCCTATTTGCAATAGCATTAAGGGCACCATGGTCTCAAGTTAGGATTGTAGGAGAGATGGCTGGATTTGTTGCCTGGTTCAATAGGAGACCACCTGTAATATGGAAATCAAGGTCGTATCATGATCCAGTTTTGAGGGTGTGGAGGGTGGACATGTTGATAATATTCTACCTGTCTGTAATGATGGTAACTGAATTGTCCTTAAAGGAAACACAGGCACTGCTTAAATAGATTTTTTAACACTTATTTTGTTGTGAGGTCAGGAGGTGTAGAAACTCCTCCTATGCCTGTGGCTATGAGCCTACTCATTTCCTATTGTGTACCTCAAGATAAAACTGGTGTCTAATCACAGACACTGTAAATTGGACTAGTCTCAAACTGAGTGCTGTTTCTAAGGTAACCCTACAGACTTTGAGGTGTTCCTTAAATAGCATGTCCGTCCTCCCTGGACTGACCTATCCCCTTCCTAACTCCCTACCTACACTCACCTTTCCTGGCCCCATCCCCGCCTCTTCGACCTGTTTGTTTCCTCTCCACCTATCCTCTCCTCTATCCCTCTTCTATCCGCCTCCCACTCTCTCCCTATTTATTTCAAAACCCCCTTCCCCTCCCCCTTTTCTGATGAAGGGTCTAGGCCCGAAACGTCAGCCTCTCTGCTCCTATGATGCTGCTTGGCCTGCTGTGTTCATCCAGCCCTGCACCTTGTTGTCTCGGATTCTCCAGCATCTGCAGTTCCTACTATCTCTGTTAAAAGTACTTTTTTGTTTTGACACGTGAGTCATTATGGAAGAAGGATAACACAAATTTGCAAGGTAAATACAGTTTCTCTTTAGTTCATAGACAGGAATTTAGTCTGTAATATTTGGCAATTGATATTTGGATTATAAACTACTTACAGCACAGAAACAGGCCATTTGACCCATCAGGTCCATGCCAGTGTTTATTGCTATGAGCCTCCTATCCTTTTTCATCTCACCCAATTAACATATTCTTCTGTTGTCTCGTCTCTCTGTGATAATCCGTACGTCCCAGTAAAGGTGTGACTGTAGATGTCCAGAGTATTTGGGCTCGTATTTGGCCAGGTTACTCATGCTTTCTGGCAGGTTTACGATGCAGAATTGAGCAGAATCTGTGAAGAGTGTGTGACATCACTTATTCCCTAGCTGTCACCAGATGACATGTTTTGGTGAGCAACATACCCCATCATCGGTATAGTCACCATAGTACACAGCCTGATCCCAGCTCCAAATCTCCCCATCTCCTCCACCCATTCGCTGTGAGACACGTATTTGAGATCAGGGAGTGAACGGAGGAGACAGGAGCAGATAATAACCCATTCAAATGATCCTTGTTATACTGGAGACAGTGGGACTGGTGAATATGATAGGCGTGTGACATAGGTCAAGTGGCTAGTCAACCTCTGAGCTCACCCCTTAACACAGAGGGTGAGCACATGCTGGAAACAGCTGCTTTCCCTCCCCAAAATACCATTGGCACAGGCAGATGGGTGGGACTGGCCAGGCATTTTACTTATGAAACAGCAAGAGGTAAAGGGGAGCACTGTTTTCAGGGGGTGCCCTTTGTGCAAAAAGGGCACATCCTCCCAGAAAGATTGAACCCCTGCCTTCCATCCAACCTGATCCCCTCCCTGAGTTTTCCAAACCTTTCACAGCCCAGCACCCTGGACTCTGGAACCCATACTGTCTTATTTCTGGGCCTACCTGCAGTACCACAGTGACCACCACTGGGAACAGCCACTGCAGGGGCTACTGGCCGGGAGCTTCCAAGGGCTGGAGCTCCTTCCCAGTGAGTGGTGCCAGCTTGCAGTGAGCTTCTTTCTGATCTGTCAGTTTGCCACTGACTTTCCTACCAGGCTGAGGTGAGTTAACTGTTCTATTCTATCCCCCAAACCCCCCAAGACCAATATCCACTGAATTAGATTCCTGTTCCAGTATATTATAGCTGAAACTACATTGGGCAAGACTGTTGAATCAGCACTAGGAAATAATGGGGAAAAGATCATCACTTATTTGATACTTACATTACTGTTTAACAAGGTTCATTTTTCTGTCAAGTCTGTCATAAACAAGCTATGCATCATTTTACTATGCCCATGGGCAGTGTGTGCTGGTGCTGAACTTCCTGCCTGGATGAGGGTACAACCATATGAAAGGTTTTAATCTCCTACTCCAGCTTTAATAGTCAGTGCTCAGAAATGTTTAGATGTGTTGGTTTGAAGTCAAGTGTTGGATAAATATCACCTTGGGGAGATGATGACCTGGTGGTATTAGCACTAGACTATTAAAACTGAGCAAATGTTCTAGGGACATAGGTTAAAATCCTGCCATGGCAGATTGTGGAATTTGAATTCAATAAATATCTGGGAAGTTTAACAGTCTAATGAAGACTATGAAACCATTGTCAGGAAAAACCCATCTGGTTCACTGATGTTCTTTAGGGAAGGAAACAGCTGGTTTGGCCTACATGTGACTCCAGACCCACAGCAGTGTTGCTGATACTTAACTGCCCTCTGGGCTAACAGGGATGGGGTAACAAATAGGCAACTAATAGGGATAGGAATAAATTCTGGTCTGCCCAGTGATGCCAGGAATAAAAAAGTGTTCATTTGAAATTGAGCTGTTGTTGAGGGAAGGAATGTTCATTTTTAATCTTCCAATGTTGCACACCACTGTCAGCCAATTGCTTGCACATGACCTGCCCACTCAAAGTCCTGCTCACATCAATAGAACAAACTGGCACCATGCAGTGGAGGAGGGGGAATAATGGAGTTGTAAAAAATCGCTTGATACATTTATCCTGAGACAGCAGCTTAGATGTGTTAGTGATTGGAAACCACCACAATGAGCCCCTTGCTGGACACACCCTGTTATTTCAGATTGTTAGAATGCACGTCATAATGTAATCCATCACTAGTAGTTGATACTGTATTGGTATAATTGGTCCCCTTATTAAAGAAAGGTATTATTTCATTGGAGGCAGTTCAGAGAAGGTTCACTAGGATGATCCTTGGTATGAAGGGATTGTCTTATGAGCAAAGTCTAAACAGGTTGGGACTCACCGGAGTTTAGAAGAATGAGAGGTGATCTCATTGAAACATATAGAATTCTTAAGGGGCTCCATATTAGGAAAGGTGAAACAGAGGTTCACTAAACTATTACCAGAGTTGAAAGATTACTGTCCCAAGAGAGGCTTGAAAATTTATGGCTTTTGAAAGGCTGATCTTCTTAAGTAATCATAATTCATAAGGTCTGAAAGCTATTAGTGATTGTTTCCACTTGTCAATGAAATGGTAACCAGAAACGGAAATGTGGATAATTGCAGAAAATAGTTAAAGGAGAACCAAGAAAGGAAGTCTTCACATGAAGGGTGATCAGAATGTTGAATTATCCATCAGAAACCACTGATGAAGCTGAGTTCACCACAACATCTGCTTTCAAAAAAAAATTAGATTGTTGCTTCGGTGAAAGAGCGTTATTAGATGTTTCATATAGCAAACAGGAAATTGAACCAAGTGACTCACTTGAAGAACACCTCATGTTGCAAGTGGTCATTTTCTGAATGGTATCATTCCATAGTCAAAAT